GTCCTTTGGGCGCGGTTCCTATACCTTGGAAGGCATTTGCAGACCTGCACATGTCCTTGTTACGACCCAATTGAACCAGTGGCCAGTGTTTTTCTAGGCGTAGCTTTCCCCTTCTTTCCACGGATCCGGATCTTGCTAGAAGACCACCAAAAGCCCCGGGGAAATGGCGATCGGTTTTTGACAAGAACGAGGGCTGAAAAGAATGGACAAGGAAGCAACCCCTACTTTTTCAGCCGAGCCCGGCGGCCCGGCACTTCGATATTTCTCCCAACGCTCTTGGCCTGGGCCATTTGGCGGCGAGATCGTCCAGCTGCTTGTAGGTCACTCCCTGAGTTCCTGGGCTTGACGACGCTTTTCGGGGAAGACCAGGTTAGCGAGCGGCAAATAAGAGGCATATTATTTTTTGGGTAGAATAAGCCAATCCACTCCGGAAGGGTAGAATTTTCAACATGCATAGTGGTCCAGTACCCAGACACCAAGTCGTGGTTATATATGTCTTCTTCTGGAGTGTCTTCAATAGGCTCGACACACCGAATCATCTCCCAGTCGAAGGCTTCCGAAGTTCAAGAGATGGTTTCCAACTGAGCTCCAGAACTCTCCAATCTCTACTACCTCTCATGGGCTTAAGGCCAGAAAGCACAATATAACTTTTAACCATCTTAGAACCAGAAATGGGCTAGGGTCGATTTGCTGGAAAGACGCCACGCCCATTTCCCAGGTTCTCCCTTTCGGAGACACCCTTTTGGGGCTTCAAACGTATTTGACTTGACATATTCCAAGGATCAAACGAGTCGGTGCATGTGGGAGGTATCCCTTTAATGCTCCAATGTGGGGGAAGAAGCTCGACTGAGCTGTTCCACCTGTGGCCGAACCTCCACGGCAGGTGGATGGACAATGTCCACCCATACACTGATTGGAAGGTGGGGTTGCCCGAATAATCCTAGGGTCTCATCCATAGCCGGTAGATGAAATTTTGAGGGTACACGGTAGACACCAAACGAAGCAACTTGTCCCGGGCTCATAATCCCAGCGCAGAAATGCGGGAATCTCCCACTTCTGCGATAGCAATAGCGTTCAATTGACTAACAATTTATCCAGTTGAAGGCCTCCTCCCCACAAGTGAACAGGGTGACAGACAATCCAATTGTTCACTGGCACACCTCCCTTATTAGCCCTGAAGGGTTCCCTTCTCACTGGGCTGGACTGACGAGCTAGGTGTCGCCTTTTTTTTATGAGCTACGTGATAAAGCCTCTGCGTTTAAAGGGATCCTATCACAGGACATGTTTGTGACTTGCGTTTTCTCCAGACCGATTCGCAAATGGAACTGATTGGAAGTCCCACTCGTACTCATCCATAAAGCGTCTTAGGAGAGCCCTAGCTTCCGGCTCTACGATGCCATGTCGGCCATAGCGGTGCCGGCCCTTTTACCGTGGCTGCCAAGGGGACTTCTCTTGGCTCGTTGATCCTTGGCTCTCAGTTCCAGTGAAGTTTTGAATTGGGTCTGTTTGGAGGTTGTTTTCTGGACACCATTGTTTTGGAGACTGTTTTTTTTTGGGTTTTCTGGCTGGACACCATCCATTTTGCTGACCTTTTGGTTTCCCCACACGTTCTCGTGCGGTTGACTTCGCCTGTGAGCCTGAGACGCCTGTGTTTTCGGGACATCCACTCCGGTCAACCATGCACCATGGAACCCACCCAAAGCTCAAACACTTTTTTTAAGGAACATCGTCTTCCACTGGGTTCCATTTTGGCGGATGGGGTTTCTCCTCAACTGGTGGATTGGATTGGTTGAACCGATGCTACAGCTCTCAAATGGGCCACTCGTGGGATCTCGTGTCCAAACGGTGAATGGTTGCTTCCATGTGAAGGTCCGGGTGTGTCCCAATGTGGAATCAACAACAAGGTTACCATTCAAGTTCCTGCTAAAAACGCCATGCGCAGAAGTGCTCTCATTAACCCCCACCCACATTAAGCCCCTCCGACAAAAAACAAGAACAACAAGATGCCCTACCTTACGGGGGACGGGGGGTGAGGGGTCCTCCAATTCCAATTATCGAGCCTTCTCCATAAAGGGGAAGATGAGACCATAAACTCGGTTGTTCGGTGACCCTGGAAAAAAAGGGAACCCTTTTTGGGGAATACCATTTTTTGCGGGGAAGCCACCAAAAAAAGGGAAAAAGAGTTGGTGCCACTGAACAACTGAGTAAATAAATTGCAGGGGTGAACTCCCCCAATTCCATTTGTAGGGGCGTTGCCTGAAATCACCAAGCCAAACCACCAACTAAGGGTTGCCTGACTTGTAAACAATCCGGACAAAACATCAGCTTCCCTCTGATTGGTGGTTTGGATGGGTGGCTTGAAGGTATTCCAGGGCTGGTTTCCTATCTACCCTCTACAGGAAGGAGCTGGATCTTTGCTTGCAGGAATGTCGACCATGAGCAAGCACGCATCTGAGCTGACACCTCATCGTCGACTAGCTGTTTTCGGGATGTCAGATTTGAACTGCAACCCCTCTTGATGGCGTTCACCCATTCTTCTTTTCAGAAACCAGCGGTGTTCACTTAGTGTGCTGCGTGGGGAAGGTGCGGTGTTGATTTTTGCAAATGCAAAGTCCCAGCCACGACCAAAACCACCTCACCTTACTGTTTGCGAGCTTGCTTTGAGCCAAAACCGAGCATACCTCACCCAACATCCTGTTGTGGTGCCCGTTCTTCCGGTAAAAGAAAACAACCTTCCCTTAAACAATGGGTGGATATTTTCTATGGAACATTTTGGGAACATTGACTCAACTGACGATCCTTGGGTAAGCTTCCCCGCAAGGCGTTCTGTTGAAAAGCCGGTTTGGATGTGGTGAATCCATGGATCCACGCCTGTAGGATACTAAAACCCTAGTTAAAGAGGACTAAAACGGGCCAACACGTGGAACAGCTGGTCGAATCTCCAGAAAAATCAATTCATGTCCTACGAGATTCTGATGGCCAGGAGATCATGGATCCAAAGATGGACACCGGCTACAAAAGCCATGAGGCTCGCGCCAGGGTCGCCCGAAAAGCGAGTTCTGATCTGTTTTAGCGTGCTTCCCCAAGTGATTTGTATCCCTAAAGCATGGATTGGATCCCTACTCAGCATATTCTTTGAACAATCCTGGGCTGCCAATACTCAGAAGAAGCATGGGGTTTGTCTACTAGTGTTCACTTTGTAACCCCCACAATGGGTGGTTCCCTTTTGGATTCCCACTAAAATAAATCACCCGCCAGTAATTATGGGAATGACTCTGACTCATTTCGACCTCTGTTTCTTGGACCAGCAGCATCAGCCACAGCTTCTCAGTGGCTTGTCTGGTTTTGCAGTGAAGAACCAAGAGCTCCCCGACAAGTCAACATACAACCTCAGAGAGATGTTCTCCGAAGGGAGATTGATGTACAACTTCCTTTTTGAGGTTTCGTTTATGTTGTTCGAGACGGGAGCCATTGAGACAAGCAGCCAACTTGTTTTATGTTTTGTGTGTGGCGCACCCTTGTGTTCAAAACAGCTCTGTGTCCTCTCCTCAACGGCAAAGAATTAGAAGCAACGACGATCATGGGAAGCGGTTTTGTCACATGTTTCTTGGGTTGTTTCGGGCAACCGTGGGCAACATGTCTGCTTGCCACTATTTGCGCTGCAGCAATTTCGCGGCCATGTGATTGCACTGCGTCTGACTCCGTTTGATGGACCCACTTGCACCAAAGCCGGAAAGCTGGTAAATAATGCTTGTTGGGTATGACAATAACATGGCCAGAATTGATGCCTGCGGAAGAAAACACACAATGAGAACGACACCCATGCTGGCTTTTATATAATTTGCCCTTTGCGCTTCCTCAAATCTCCTTGTCTTCTTCTCCATTCTAAAAGTGTTTTGTTTTTGGTACTCGTAGCGCTGGCTCTTCGAGCACATCATTTTTTGTTCCCCCTCGATTCACATGTGCGGCTGCAATGAATCAACTGCGGATTTCGAGCTGCTTTAGTTTCCCTGCCTGGCAGAAGCCAAGCATGAAGCGTGAAACTTGAGATCTAGTAACCCATTCAACACTGTAAATGCTTGGCAGTTAAGCACAAACACAGAAGCATCTAGTCCAAGCACATAGTCCAAAGTCCAAAGCGCCGTCAGCAAATGCAGAGGAGTGTCCCCCCAAAAAGAATTCAGCAAATGAGGAGGAGTCTCCCCCCCAAATTTCAGCAAATGAGGAGGAGTGTCCCCCCAAAATGTTGGCTTCTTCTTTTTGTTTCCCCTTTTATTCGGCCGAAAAGAAGGCCCGGCCACCGGCCCCGAGCGCGCCACGCCGCTCACCCGGGCGGTCCCAGGACATGACCCTCGAGAGGGCCGAGAAGCTGGGCTTGGTGTCGGCCCCTAGCCCAGAGGCGCGGGGAGACTTTTGGTCCGAGGGAGTTCCTAGGAAAGCCGGAGGGAGTTTTTCTTGGGGTTCCGAACCGGTTTTGGATTTTGGGTGGATTCCCGTAGAAAGGAAAGCCATAGGAAAAAACCGCATGTTTTTGTTTTTTTTTTCTTTCATTTTTTTCTTGGGCATGAACATTGTCATTCCCTGCCTATCCCTGCCTATCGAGCTGGCAAGCTAGTTAGTCCTGAAAACAACTGGCTTTGCAACCAGTGAAATCCATCTATTTGTTTACCCAAACTGGAAAAGGCCGCCTATGGTTTGGCGGTTAAATCAGAAAGGCTACGGGGCTCAGTTTAAAAGCCTTTCCAGCGGGCACGAAACTCGCGCAATTTCCGATAGGAGCACTCAACAAATGTCCCACGGCCTCTTGGGGAAACAAGTACTGGAGAACTGCTCAGATGGCAATGGGTCAAAAGCCCGTCAGTGAACATCCCACTCCCCACTAAAATAGGTTCTAAAATGGGTGATTCCATTGGTTGTGACCCACAGCCAGATGTCTTCAGTTTCTCGCATTAGTGCCGGTTCTTGCAGGTCCTGACGGGCGTGATGGACCACCTGCTTATGCACCCTCAGACTCGTTTGGCAGGGAGGGGGCAGTGTTGAGTTGAGCGCAATCCAACGTATGTGCATGTAATACATGTGCGCATAATATATATATATATATTATATATATATATATATTTATAGACCATACATTTGTGCATGTATTCCCCAGCTTCATGCTTTGGGCAGGGAGGAGAGCTGCTTTGGGCAGGGAGCTGCGATCATTCATTTCAGAATCTTGGCCCCGTCCCCGAATTGCGCGAACCCAGAGACGTGTCCAAATCGCTGGCTTCGCACGAGCTTCCTTTCAGGTATCCCACTTTTTTCGGGATGACAGGGAAGCCGACGGGCGTTCTCCGATGAGGCATATCAATCCTCTTCGGGGTTCCTCCCTGCTCAGAACCAAAAGGCTTTTAGGGAAAACGCAATCGTCCGTTTTTGGGGAGAATTCAAGAAATGCCCATAATTTGAACCAGATGATGGGCAGCTACATGTAGTGTTGCCTTGCATTGTCTCTTTTAAAGCCGACCTCGGACAAGCACTTGTTTATAAGCGCCGGATAGCCGCGGTGCATCCATTCGCGTGCGACCAGATTTTGGGTAGACAAATGTGCTCTGAAGTTTCCTGTGCTGCAGCTCATGCTAAGCATTTTGTTGCACAGGCCCCCAATATTGAAATCACCCATTGTTACGTGTAATGGTTGTTCTTATTGGTATCATGGTGATTGGTTGGACGGTCCTGACAAATGTCACTCGCGATCATGGTTCAATGCAAAGGTTGCTAGTTGGCCCATGTTCTATGGTGAAAAAGGACCCCCTCCTTAAAGTTTAAAGGGGCAAAGTAGTCATAACGGCCTACAGTCATCACAGAAAGGTCTACTTGCCACAACCATGGCTGTCATTTGGTTGGCTACTTCTACGACCCCACCCCCCGGCTATTAAATCCACCCTTTGGCGACCCGCCCTTCTTTGCTGGGCAAAGATTCGAGGCCGATTGAACCGAAGCACAACCGGGGTTTTGGGACCCATTTCTGCGATACCAACAAGCTCCGCGTTGTAGTGATGTAAGCATGAATGCACACATGAATAAACCGCAAAGGAGTCCTAACCCCGCAAAAAACAAAAAAACATGCCCGACCCCGCCCTGTTTTAACTCACCTTGATAAACCCACCCTTAACCCATCCCAATCCCAACGTTGAGGGAGGCTTGTCTGACGACTCAGCCGTCTGGCACCGACTTTTTAGCCCGGCGCCATGGCGGCGACGGGGCGGCAAGCCACGCTGCAGCCGTCCGGGGCGGGTGGCGTAAGGACAGAACTGTCGTGTTTCACGTACTCTCAGACCCACACTAGGTCCCCCAGCGAAAGGGTGCCCTTTCTCACCCATTTCTTTTTTGGTTGGGAAAGTTCCCACCAAAAATAGACTACAGAAAAAAATGGTACCATTATTCTAACCTCTATACTGGAGGACCTAGGAACTGTCGCGTTTGAAGCTACTCTCAGACAGAAGGTCACTCTGGAGCCAAGTCTACCCAGCAGGTCCTGGCTTCCATGGCATCGCCTAAAAACAGCTCGACACATCAACGAAGCCAAACGGGGGTCCGGATCCAAAATGATGATTCGCCGTTTTTTGAGGGGGCTTTGAACAAGCAACAAACCCTCCCAAAAGGAAGCACCCATGTTGGTTTGTCGTTTGAGGGAACTCGCATAGGCGGTATCATTTTAGATGCCCTGTAGAACCAACTAGTAAACACATGACCGCCCCCTCCATGTTTACAACTAACAAACGTACTGTTTATATGGGGTTGTCTTGGAATAAGGGACCCTTGGATGAAGTTGTGTTGTTTGTGTACTTATTAACTTATGATTTTATGGTGCATTGCCGTCTTTGTTGTTTTAATGTATTGGTTATTGTTCCGTTATTTTGCAACAAAACATGGGTTATTTCTGTTATGTGTGTATGGACTGATTGGTCTGTCTATGTTTTGTTTCTTTGTTTATTTGTTTGCTTGCTTGTTTGCTTGTTTGCTTGTTTGTTTGCTTGTTTGCTTGTTTGCTTGTTTGCTTGTTTGTTTGTTTGTGTGTTTGTTTGTTTGTTTGTTTGTTTGTTTGTTTGTTTGTTTGTTTGTTTGTGTATGTGTTAGTCTGTTAGTTTGTTTGCTTGTGTGTTGTACATATACGACATGATCTTTATGTGGATATGCGTGTATACAGAACATAACTCTCAATTCACACATATCTTTACATATAGCTACTGGCATTGTCTAGGTCCCCCAGTAGTGCCCTTTTACCCTTTTTTGGTGGAGGGTTCCCCTACCAAAATAGACCACAGAAAAAAGGGTACCCTGATTCTGACCTCTCTACTGGAGGACCTAGTTGTAGACCTCCTCATGCTGTTGTATTCTGTGGCGATTTGTGAGCAGTGGGCTTTCTGCCACCAGCGCCTTTCGAAAAGAAGATCAGGTGCCGTCAAGCTCAGCTATCCTGTGTGGGCAGGTTCTAGTGACATCACTCGTGACATCACTCGGGGGTCTAGACGGCGCCATTTTGCGGTGTTTTTTTGGGTCAGGGCTCGGTTCGTGGATTGTTGCCCAGATTGGTACCTCAAATCCTCAGAGTACACCTTTGGAGTCCTGTCGAAGTCTTTTTCGAATGGTAGTTATATTGTTCTGGGTGAATTATAACGACCTCACACGACCTCACACGACCTCACACGACCTCACCCCAAATGGTAGTTTATTTGGGGAATATCCCCCCAACCACCTTATTTCAGGTTGGTGACATATTATAATTCACCCAGATTGTTGTTGGGTGTGTGAGTTCATCAATGGGAATGAGTCAGCAGAGATGTTGCAGGCCCCAACTGCTAAAGAAGCCAGATGTGTCAAAGCCAGATTACACCTCTGGATTGGCCTCATGTCGGAGTCCAAGTAGTTGCGGCACATTCTCAGTTCTTGGACCCCTAGATCCTGGATTCTCTTTCAACACGGGCCGCAAAAGAGGTTACACCCGGGGTCCCTTAGTTTTCATTGTATCGTTCCTCCAAAAGAGGCACTTTCACTGGAGCCCATTTACAAGTAAACTCATCAAGTTTCTGGAAAATGGGGTCACCCCTTCCAGTTGGCTTACCCTATCTGCCAGATTTGGTTATCTACCCCGGTGCGCGTTACTTTGCACTTCCCCAGTTTGCCAATTGGCTCTGGGTCAAAAATAGGTACCCCAAGTGGACCCCTGGTAAATAGAAAGAAGGACTAAAACCTGCGGTCCAATTCCCGGTGGTTTAATTTTGACCCACACCCAGGTGGGGATATCTTCGAAGTAACAAGGTAATATCTTCTCAGGGGACCGCAGGTTTTGGTCCATGTTTTCACTTACCAGGGTTCCATTTGGGGTACTGATTTTTGACCCATACCCAGTTGAGGACGGAGCCTCTCTGGCGGCACCATGACCGAAAGGCTATGAAGAGCGGTCAGCGGGGCAGCATCTACTGGGTGGGAAAGCAGATCCTCTCACAGGACTGGGCGGGAGACGGGCAGGCCGCGAATCCACCTGAGCCACGTCCAAACAAAAAACCGAGAGGCTGCAAAGCTGTGGATAGTTGCGAAATCCATTTCGTGCTACTGTAAACTGTAAACCATGGTGGAAACCATAACGTTTGTTGGTATTTACGGGAGAATCGAATCATTCCAGGGTTTCTTAGGTGGTGCGAAATGGATTTCGTCCATCCACAGTAGGGCGGTCCTCTCCTGAGCCATGTCCAAGCAACAGCGAGGCACGGGCAAAACCGGTTTTGCGGGACAGTCGGTATCCGGATAGTCGCCCCATGATTTTCACTTGGAAAGGAGCCTTCCCTAGGTCCCAGCGAAAGGGTGCCCTGTCTCACCCACTTTTGGTTGGGAGGGTTCCCCTAAATCGACTATCCCCCCCCCAAAAAAAGACTACCCTTGTTCTAACTCCTCTCGACTGGAAGACCTAGTTCCAGGTTTTTTCCGCGGTGACGCTGCGGATCTCCCTTGAAACCTGCCAAGCTTTGCCGCAGTCGGTGGAGTCCGACGTGCGGTACGGCTTGGTTGCAGTCCAGTTGGGTGGCTTTGTGTTGAATATGGGGCACTTCAAAACGTGGTGTCCTGTTGGTTTCCCGTGAAGGAGCCACCGAAGTAGGGTGCCCTCCCAAAAAGCAAAACACCCATTTCGTTTTTCAATCAATCAACCCCTGGTGAAACAAGTTGCTCGGCCCAAGCCTTTTTCCTCTAAACTCGACCACTACATACAAGTGGAACTTCGCACACGTCTCGAGTTCACCCAGCATCTGAGCATGTTGAGTTGGTGCCAAAGCTGAGATAGGCTGGGTCAACGTGTTTGTGTCATTTGTCCAGTTGCCCCATACATGTCATCCTTGTTGTATGTTTGCTTGGCGAGCGTCTTGCGAAACTGAACTGACAGAACAACGGTGCCCTTGTTTGAAAGCGTGCAATGGTGAAATAGCCCTGCAATTGGGAACAGGGACAATTATCAGCCCTCAAGCGACTTAGACAACTGGGTGCCCTTTGGCGCAATTGTGACGACCCACACACACTCAGTTTTGACCATGGCACACATGACGCTACAATTTGAGCTGCCACGTATAGCTGAGAGCCACAAGAACATATAAAGTCCAGAAACTCATCAAGTCGGCAATATAAAATTCGCCATTTGTTTGGCACCCCTGTTCTAAGACACGCCTTAAAAAAAAAAAAACAAAAAAAAAAAAAACAAGAAAACCATATGGAGGAACGACACATTTGCCGGGAAACCCAAAGTAAGATGTGTTATGGCTGGTCGTTCGATCCTTAGCCCCAACTAGGTCCCCCAGCTAGGTGCCCTTTCTCACCCATTTCTTTTTTGGGGAGAGGGTTCCCCTACTAAAATCGACTACTTAAAAATGGCACCCTTATTCTAACCTCTCTACTAGAGGACCTAGCAAATCTGTTGAAAACCCAAAGGAATCTCCACATAAAGGTGTGTTCTGCTCAGGGGGCAGGG